ACGTACTGCACAGGTAGCGCAATACCCTTTTCCTTACTTCGCGTTGGTGCACAGGGCAGAATGACACACGTTGGTGCACAGAGCAGAATGACACACGTTGGTGCACAGGGCAGAATGACACACGTTGGTGCACAGGGCAGAATGACACACGTTGGTGCACAGGGCAGAATGACACACGTTGGTGCACAGGGCGGAATGACACACGTTGGTGCACAGGGCAGAATGACACACGTTGGTGCACAGGGCAGAATGACACACGTTGGTGCACAGGGCAGAATGACACACGTTGGTGCACAGGGCAGAATGACACACGTTGGTGCACAGGGCAGAATGACACACGTTGGTGCACAGGGCAGAATGACACACGTTGGTGCACAGGGCAGAATGACACACGTTGGTGCACAGGGCAGAATGACACACGTTGGTGCACAGGGCAGAATGACACACGTTGGTGCACAGGGCAGAATGACAGCCAATTGTTAGTCAGATCCCTGACAAGCGCGCATATCAGGAAGGGAGGGAGGGAGGAAGGGAGGGAGGGAGGGAGAGAGGGAGGGAGGGAGGGAGGGAGGGAGAGAGGGAGGGAGGGAGGAGAGAGGAGGGAGGTAGGGAGGGAGGGAGGGAGGGAGGAGGGAGGGAGAAAGGAGGGGAGAGCGAGGGAGGGAGGGAGGGAGGGAGGGAGGGAGGGAGGGGGTGGGCAAAATGGGGAAACGTCATGCAAGGCAGTTGAGGTGGGGCACATTTGCTCGGCTGCAGTGCAGCGCGAGCTGCAGTGAGCTGCGGTGAGCTCCTTGTGGCTGGGTGGACCATGCAGCAAACGCTGAAGCAATTTAAACAATGGGCGTGCGTGGACCAAGGCGTTGGCATGAGCAATGGGATAGCCAAGGGATGACGGCACAGCATCAGCATGGCATTACATGGCATGCTATTCCCAGCATACAGTTGTGTCAGGGTTGTGAGGTTCCACAGGAATGAGGAATGGGGCCTGTTAAGTTCCGCCCAGTCACATTCCTGGAGCATGGCATGGCATGAAGGGGGGGAATGAGGGCGCGGCACGAGGGGGAGGGGACTTTTGAGTCGACTCAAAAGGGGCATGGTGCGACGCGATGGAAAAGAGGGTACGTGACATGAATGGACGAACAGAGAGCCAATCGTTGGTATGGCAGCGAGGGGCATTGAATGGGTTTGTGCCATGGGGCGAGCAAGCACGCATGGGGACAGCAAGCACGCATGGGGACAGCAAGCACGCATGGGACAGTCGACACTTTTCAAGATGCTTGTTCCAGGGCCAATCGAAGATAAATCAAATCTCCAACAATCTAAAGGGAAGAAGGGGAAGTGGTAGGCAGGTGGGGGAGGGAGGGGAGCGGAAGGGCCAGTGGGGGCCGGGGTGATTGGGAATGCAGGACGGACGCACATGGAAACATGAAGCCAGCTGCATTGCAGCGCACGCCATGCACCCCGTCTCCCCCGCTGCCCCCGCCCTCCTAAGTGAACCCAGTATAGGCGGCATGCAGCACGCACAGTGAGACGATGAAGCCAGCCGCATTGCAGCGCACGCCCTCCACCTGCGCGCAGTCCCCCCCCTTGCTCCATCCGCGCAGCTGCGACCGCCACTGCCCCTGACACTCCGCCAGCACCGCCGCTGCGGGGACAGCCGTGGAAGGGGAGAGGAGGGCGTGTGCGTGGGGATGGGGAAGGATACGGATGGGAAAAGGGGAAGCATGCGGAGAGGGGAAGGGCATGCGGATGGGGACTGGGGAAACATGGCGAGGGGGAACCAGCGCCCGAGGAAGGTCGGAGAAAAAAGCAGGCGGGGGGCAGGTGCGTGTTGGACGGGGGAGAAGGCGGAAAGCGCAAACCCAAACGAACGATGCAGCTGGAATGAGAGGGAAACAGGCTGCGGAGGCGTGTCGCGAAACATGCCAGGCATTGCGGCTGGCGGGAGGACTAAAGGCAAGAAGCCCGCGTCGGGGAGAGTGACCGGACACTGACAATGATTGGCAGTCTTCATCTGTCAAACTCTAGGAACAGGCGTGGAGCGCTGGACAGTGGCGCGCCGGACTGTGGTGCCACGCGCAGGATAGCGCCGGGCCGACTCGGACGCTCCGAGCCATAGCCTCAGGATGCAGCGGAAATGAAAGGTGAGCATCGACTAGTGTACTACGGCCTTGGCACGCACAGCTGTGCGCAGCGCAGGTCATTCTAGCGCGACGGACCTTGCGAGGGGTGGAGACCCGTAGCAGCCGCGGCCGTCGGAGAGAACACGCGGAGCGCGAGCCCGGCGAGGAGGACGGCGAGGCGATGCTGCTGTGGCGACCCCGCCTTGACTTGGCTGCAACGGGAAGCTCGATTCATCCCGGCATTTTCACTCGGAGTTACCACAATGTACCCTAGCGAGCACCTCGGAAAATCCGTTCGCGAATTCGGGAGAAATGTCGCAAAACATCTGGCACATTCGACAAATTACTCGCAGGTCTTCCAATCAAGGAGCAGGGAGGTACAGGGTTACCCTAATCTGGCATCACAAGCTCGGGAGGAGCCAACGCCCGTGACGAAAGTCACTGACACCCTCGCGAATCAGACATGGCCTCGGCATGTGGCTGGCAGGTCGTTTCTAAGGGCGCGTGTGATCTATTTTCAAGTTGGGAAAAAAGGTCGACCTTTGTGTGGCTACCAGCTTCGCTAATGTCGTCAGGAAGCTTTGCCGAAGGCATGAAATTTTTGGGGTACATAAGTTCGAATGTCAAATGTGAACTCAACTCGAATCACACGAGTGAACGTGCGGGTGCACATGAGGCGAGTGTATGTTGTTTTCAGCACGTACGAAGGACATCCAAAAATCGCGACCGCTTTGCGAAGGCCGCTGAGCTTCGTTTTGCATTGCGTTAACGTGTCGCGCTGTACCAGGTAACCTACTCCCCTACGGGCGGCTCGCCGCCATCCCTAAAAGGTCGAATCTCTGTGTTTGACCTTGGGTGTGTGATTGTGACTCGTCTGTGTTGGAGACCCAATTTTCGAAGTTCGCTGGAAAGAAAGTCGAGTTTTGTTCAAATGCTACATTCGACCTAAAAACATAAACTTTCACAAATTTGTAAGACCACACGCACCCTAATCAGGCATTTCTTCATATAACCAACCACCTAGATCAAGCATTGCTCTCGTGTGGCATTGCTCGCGTCGCGCGTCGTTCCTTCCTCAATCAGTGGCTCGCTCGCCTCACTCGCGTCGCGCATCGTTCCTTCCCCCGTGTCCGTCCACTCTCTCTCCCCTCGCCTTCTACCTGTTCGCACGTCATTCGCGACGCCGTAGCGAGATGGTGGCATGTTACAGCGTGATAACATGACGCGTTGCAAGCGTCTAGATCGAGTCCTGAGGAGATGGGGTAAGTACTTGTGAGGCGATCCGACTGTCTAGATTGTAGAAGGAGGCGGATGGCCAATTTGGACTCGTATGTAGCGTCGCAGACTGGATCGCGCCTCGTCATTCCGCCGCACGGCCGACGCTACGAGATCTCAACCGCTGACGTGTGCGCGACGACGGTACGACCGCAGCGCGACGACTGTGCGACGGTAGTGTGACGACGGTACGAGTGCGACGACGGCGGTGCGACGGCAGCGCAACGACGGTGCGACGATAGTGCGACGGTGCGACGGTAGTACGACGACGGGGCGACAGTAGTACGACGACGGTAGTGCCACGTGGGCTGCACTGACGGGAGTCACCGAAATCCCAAGCCGTCCTACCCAGTGCATTCTCCCCTACCCTCGCTCCATGCTCCACCGCACTCTACCGCACTCTAATTGCTCTCCTCCTCTCCATCATCCCCGCTGCTCTCCAGACAGTTACGAGCGCCCGCTCTCCCGCCGCACCTGCCGCGCTCGCAGCCACAGCCCAAGAGGATACAGTCACTCTGGTTACAGTCACAATCACAATCAGCATCGCTGTGACCAACGTCTGCTGCTCGGAGTGCTCCTTCTCGCGTTCCTCTCCTTGCGGCATGCCGTGGCTCGAGGTGTGTGTGCCTGTAGCACGATTGGTGTGTGTGACTGTAACGCAGTTACTGTAGCGCGATGTGGATCTTGATTTTATGTGTGGATCACTGTGTCATGCATCACCATGATCACTCACTCTGCCGCCCATCTCTGCACCTGTTGTCCACATCCCCTCTATGCGTCCCATCCCATCCCATCCGTGCTCCTCCTCGTGCCTGCCATCGTATCGCCCGCCTGTGCCACATGCAGAGGAGGGTCAGCAGGGACAGGACGCTCAGGAGGAGGGCAAGGGGCGGCACGAGGCCCTGTTGGGTCGCGTGCAGCAGTTCGAGCGATCGCTCGCCGATCAGCTGTGCTCTCTCTCTCTCTCTCTCTCTCTCTCTCTCTCTCTCTCTCTCTCTCTCTCTCTCTCTCTCTCTCTCTCTCTCTCTCTCTCTCTCTCTCTCTCTCTCTCTCTCTTTCGCCACGCATCCCTCTCGCTTCTGTCTTTATCTCTCTCGTACCCCTCCTCTTCCCTTTCTATTCCCTGCGAACCTCTTCATTCCTCCTCCAACCCTACCCCTGCTCCTTTCCATTCTTCTGGGAGCATTACACATGTGCATATATCTGCCTCCCATCTCTGTTTCCTGGCCGGTTTGCCAGTTTCTTTGTTATTGTCTCGCACCAAAAACTACTGCTATCCTCTCTGATTCGTTCTGCCCCTTGCCCCTTCATTGTCGCATCCTTCCATCCCGCCGCCCTGCACTGTGGCTATGGCTGAGGAGGAAGCAGAGTCACGCTCATACATGCCCCAAATCCTCTACCCGCCCTTCTTTTCTGCTCCCCTCGCCTGCCATTCCCTCCCCTGCCCTCCCTTTCCTCCCCTGCCCTCCCTTCCCTCCCTTCCCCTCCCCTTCCCATTCCTTCCCTGTCCCCCTCTCTCCTACCCTGCGCTGCCCTCTCATTCCCTCCCATCCCGTCCCCTCCCCTGCCTTGCCTCCCTTGCCATCCCTCGCCCCCAGCCACATGGAGCGGCGGGACTTACTAAGAAAATCAGCAGCGCCGTTCAACCGCACCCTCCACACGGCCGCCCTGCCCTCCATAATGCTCGACTACTACGAGCTCCAACCCCACCTCGGCCCGCGCCTGCGGTGCCGCGGCCCGCCCTGCCCCAAGTTCGGCCACTGCGGATCCGCCTTTCCCCACGTACAAGCCTGCTGGAACGAGCACCTGATAGATCCGCGCCCGCTGTTCCCTGCGGACCCACTCAACTGCCCCCGGCTTCAACCCGTGGAGGACGTGGGGCGGCTGCGGCGGCCGTGGTACTTCATTGACTCGCAGTGCTCGCACCGCGTGGACGTGAATGCGCGGGATGCTACAGCCATGCAGGTGTGTTGTGTTCAAGATGAGGGTGTGTTTTGTACTCCGCGTTTGGGGGATTTTTTTAGTCGACTCAAAAACCGCTGTTGTTCTTCTGCTAAACCCGAAACTACACGACTGCTGCTGCTCTCTGAGAACAATGACTGAGCGATGCCATGCCATGCGGCCATGCAGGTGTTCAAGATGAAGGATGTGTACTCAGCGTTCGGCGGATACGTGTTCAACTTGACGCATCGCTTCAACCGCAACGGCTGCAAGCGCTTCCTCAAGGTGCCGCGCTGTGCTGTGTTGTGTTGTGTGCATGCTTGCCTTCTTTCTTCCTTGATTGTTCCGTGCCGGCTGTACCATCATTCGTGCACCTCTAGTGCTCGCTCCATGTGCTTCCCAGGCAATGCTCAGTGAGGAAGCCACCAGCCAGGCAACTCGACCTCCGTTGAACCCCTCTCACTCCATCCTTCCCTCAAATTCCCCCGCCCCATACCTCGACGTTGCTTCTCCCATTGTTTGCGCTTTGCAATGCTACCTTCGCCGCACACCTCACCAAGCGTGCGGCATCCGAACAAGGTCACAAACAGACCTGCCCGGCAGCCTTCCCTCGTCTCCTCTTCACACCTCTATCTTCTTGTTATAGACAAAAAAAAAAACTCTTATCCCGAAAATCCTGTGTCCCATCTTGACTCTCCCTCCCAGACCACCTTTGAGGCGCCTCAAAAGTCATCTTGACTCTCCCTCCCAGACCACCTTTGAGGCGCCTCAAAAGTCATCTTGACTCTCCCTCCCAGACCACCTTTGAGGCGCCTCAAAAGTCATCTTGACTCTCCCTCCCAGACCACCTTTGAGGCGCCTCAAAAGTCATCTTGACTCTCCCTCCCAGACCACCTTTGAGGCGCCTCAAAAGTCATCTTGACTCTCCCTCCCAGACCACCTTTGAGGCGCCTCAAAAGTCATCTTGACTCTCCCTCCCAGACCACCTTTGAGGCGCCTCAAAAGTCATCTTGACTCTCCCTCCCAGACCACCTTTGAGGCGCCTCAAAAGTCATCTTGACTCTCCCTCCCAGACCACCTTTGAGGCGCCTCAAAAGTCATCTTGACTCTCCCTCCCAGACCACCTTTGAGGCGCCTCAAAAGTCATCTTGACTCTCCCTCCCAGACCACCTTTGAGGCGCCTCAAAAGTCATCTTGACTCTCCCTCCCAGACCACCTTTGAGGCGCCTCAAAAGTCATCTTGACTCTCCCTCCCAGACCACCTTTGAGGCGCCTCAAAAGTCATCTTGACTCTCCCTCCCAGACCACCTTCACCACCCCAGCCTGCACGCTACTCAAAGGACATGCTCCACTCCACTGCCTTCACTGTATCTCCCCCTGCGTTCCTTCCAGGCGTGTGCCCATGAGGGGGAGGGGAGCGGTTCACTGGGTCTACCAGCAGGCCGGCAGCCACCCTTAACCTCTCCACTTCGCCGTGTTGCATTCCTACATTGCTGCTCCCTTTATTGCCACGTCCCTGTGTTTATCCCAGGCAACATGGCAGTGTACCACTTGTGGGAAGTGTTGAACTGGGACTATCGCCAGGCAGGCAACTTCGACCCCTTCATCATCGAATTGAAGCCATACCGATGCTTTACATCCCTGTGTGCTTTGCTCCCCACAGGCGACACTCACCCCCAACATGACGGTGTACCATCTAAAGGAGGTGTTCAACTGGGACTACCGCCAGGCAGGGAACTTCTACCACTTCATCATCGAAGCCGTCCCGCTGCTCTATGCCGCTGCTCGCCTGCTGCCCTCGCTGCTGCCCGACGTCCCCATTGCCGCCAAGGGCGACCAAGTAAGCGCGCCTTTTATTGCCGACCAGGTAACACCCGCCGTCTTCCTGCCTCCCGTTTCTCTTTTTAGCTGTTCTGCTTTGCCTCCCGCCTCCTACTTTCGCTGCCCGACATCCCCATCGCCGCCTCTTTCATCCTCCTTGGCCCCTCCTTCCATTTCCCCTGCCCCGCCCACGTCCCAGTGGGAGGTGTACGACCAGATAGGGCTGCCCATAGTGGGCATGCCGTGAATGGGCGCTGTCTTATGCCATTGCACTGCCCATAGTGGGCATGCCGTGAATGGGCGCTGTCTTATGCCATTGCACTGCCCATAGTGGGCATGCCGTGAATGGGCGCTGTCTTATGCCATTGCACTGCCCATAGTGGGCATGCCGTGAATGGGCGCTGTCTTATGCCATTGCACTGCCCATAGTGGGCATGCCGTGAATGGGCGCTGTCTTATGCCATTGCACTGCCCTCTCTCCCCTCCCTCTCACCCCCCTTCGACCCTCCCCCTCACCCCCCTTCTACCCTCCCCCTCACCCCCCTTCTACCCTCCCCTCCCCCTGACCCCACGTCCCACCCAGTGGGAGGTGTACGACCAGATCGGGCTGCCCATAGTGGGCGTGCCTCGTGAGGACATGTGGACCATCCGAGTGCGCGCATGGGAGATCGTATATGCCGACACCATGTACCAGGTGATGCCATGTACCAGGTGATGCCATGTACCAGGTGATGCCATGTATCAGGTGATCTCATGTGCCAGATTACACCCTTCTACTTGCCATCTCACCCATCCTACCTGTCCTTACCCCCTCTCTAATACATTCTCCCTCTTTTTCCCCACCCACCCCCCCTTCTTCCCATCAACCAGCCCATGGCACAGACGTGTGGCGGTCCCAACAAGGCCCTTTGGACGCACCTGCGCCGCCACCACCTGCTGCCGCCTGGCGGGCTGCCGCTCTTCCACCGCAACTGGACGCTGCGCTCCGTGCCGCCGCTCGCTGACCAGGACATGGCGGCGCTGCCGCCCAACTGGGTGGTGGTGCTGGGCAAGCGGCCAATGGCAAAGCGCGCGCTGGTGAACTGGGACGGGCTGCGCGACGCGGTGTATGCGAGCTTTGAGAGCTACGGGAGTGAACGCATTGTGGTGTTCCAAGGAGACCTGCGCATCATGGAAGGTAATGTGATGGCCGTGTGGGGGTGATGGGGATGGGCATGTGTATGTGGGCAGGGTAATAGGGATGTTTATGTGGGCATGTGAGCATGGGGGTGTGATTGCATGTGAGCATGCCGCCATGCGGTTATGCGGGCATGTGGGTGTGTAGGCATGTGGGCATTTGGGTGTGTGGGCATGTGGGTATGTGGGCATGTGAGGCATGTGGGCACTTGAGGCACGAGGCATGTGGGCAGCCTTCGCCTTTCGAGGCGCCTCAGAAGTCCCCCAAATCCGCCCTATTCTCCCCCCTTCTCTCCCCCACCAGCCCGGGCTCTCTTTCGCCGGGCGTGCCTGTTTGTGTCGGGCCACAGAGACGCCTTCGCCAGTGTCATCTTCATGCCCGCCAGCCCCCTTCTGCCCCAACCCATTTCACTCAACACCCCATGCACCCCTGATGCGTGCTCTTCTCAATGCACTCCTCTCTCCATGCTACCCCAATTGTGCCCCACACTACTCTTTCCCATACCAGCGCGGGCTCTCTTCCGCCGGGCGCGCCTGTTTGTGTCGGGCCACGGGGCCGCCTTCGCCAATGTCATCTTCATGCCCGCCAACGCCTCCATCTATGAGATCCGCCCCCGCAAGTGTTACAATGCCTGTTATAACAACCTTGCACATGCTTGCTCTGTGCGTTACCACCTCTCCTTCGGTGATGGCACGTGCTATTCGTCTTTAAAGGCGAACTTGACTCATGTGAGGGAGACCCTTTCCACGATAGCGCAGAGATTTAGAGACGAGGATGCTACTATTGCTGAACAATAAGGCGATTCCATTAGTGTTCTCTTTGTTGGGAACAACAAGTCTTAAGCGCCTCTGTCGTGTCGAGACTCAGGACACAAGCGAAGCAGCTCAGATCGAAGCGCAACGAGTCAACCCTCGGAGGTTAGGGTAACCGCTGGAGGTTACGAGAAGGTCAAAGGTCAGCGACCTTTGACTTGACAAATGCAGCGCGACAGCAAGGACACACAACTGACTCGACATTGAGCAGTTGCCCGAGTCGCACTGTATCGAATCGCAACAGTAAAACAGTCTAATCATATCTATTCGTATTCCTTGTACTTTTATATAAACCTTTGTATTTGCTTGTTTTAATCAACTTACTTTGCCCTCACATACTAGCGCAAGGTGGTTCAAAGACTTTTATTCAACGCTTCCGCTATTACATCATTCTACTCATACTGTAAGGAAATTCCCTTTTCCTTACTTCGCGTCCCTGCTCAACGCGTACGTCACTGTAGCACCTCAGTCAGCACCGTTACCACTCACGACCATCGCATCATTCATTATCCCGCCCTTTTCGCACACCGCATCCCGACCTCACGGCTCGGCTGGTAACCCGCGCTCCGGGCCTACGCTTCGGCACTTTCCCAACCTCAGTCCCAGGCTCGTCGCGCGACAACCACAGTCCATTACCGTTACCACTATTGTTTCGCTATATAATCCTTCGCTCATGCCTTCGCTCATTGTACTTTTGCTTCGATAGTGCAATTCTCGTCCGTTCACTCAATTGCACTCGTAACACTTGGTAATCAGAGCCTACGATCTCATCTCGGACCGCATCCACACCTTCGCTTCCCACTATCTCAATTTTTGGGGGGGGTAGACGTCTCTCAGCGACACAGCACCGCCGCTCGTAGTGCTCTCTCGCAAGCACGCACGGCCACGACCGAGGCTCTCGCTGAGCTTGCCCGACACCCCCGCCATGGCCGACCTCAATCTCGCCACGTTGACGCAGGAGCAACTCGATCGTCTCGTGCGACAATTGGAGGATTCGGCGCTTGAAATCGCGACGCTCACGGCGGAACGTGACTCCGCCCGTCAACAGTCAACGGTGAATGCTCCGACAACATCCCACGCACCAACCAATGTTTCTGTACATTCGGAGGAGCCGATTGTCATCTCATCCGGCACACCAACGCAACACAACAGCACGGGACAGCCCTCAGGCGGAGCCAGTGACGGCGCAGCCCAACCGATGCCCGGCATGGGAGGGAACAGGAGCACGCTAAGCCCACGGGAGCCCCGAGAAGCCCGTCGGCACGTGGAGTTTGCGGCGACAAGTGGCGAAAACGCCATGATGGCCCCAATGCCACTCAAGCCGCAACGCCCGCCCTGTTTCGACCCAAGCCAACGCGGCGGCCCGACAGTTCAATCGTGGGTCTTCACGATGAATGTGTTTTTCGACGCCAACTACGTCGAGTCGGACGCCGCCAAGATTCGGTATGCGGTTTCACTACTCAGGGGCCCCGCCATGGACTGGTGGCGAGTCATCGTGACGTCGCCACACGCCTACGAGCCACCGTCGCACGAGGAAGGGCCCTCGGGTCCAGCTGTCACCTGGAGTTCGTTCTGCGAAACAGCCCAATACAGCACGTGGGATGCGTGGTGCGCAGGGCTTCGGGCGCGTTTTGAGCCGATCGCGGCTTCGATTTCGGCGCGTCAGAAACTGCGCACTTGGCGCCAGCTCGGGTCGGTTCAAGACTACACCAGCGGTTTTCTCGCACTTTGCGAACAGGTCGGCTACATGCACGAGGCGGAGCGGGTGGACCGTTACGTCGGAGGGCTGAAGCTGGACATATCGCACGAGATAATGCTACGCGGGCTATCGAATTTCAACGAAATCCTCGCGCTCGCCGAGAAAATCGATATCCTACGCCGACCGAGACCGGGGTCCTATTTTGGACATCGCCCTCGGGGACCGATCGAGCACGCCACTGTACATGCCGTCGCAACGAATGCAGCTGCCACGCCATTTAGAGGGCGCTGCTTTGCTTGTAACCGGCCGGGCCATCGCAAGAGCGAATGTCCAGAGGAGCTGAGGCGTCGAGGAGCAGAGCAGGGGAGGGAATCTCAGAGGCAGGGAAACGCCAGCAGTCAGTAGAAGTTGGGCCAACTACTGACGAGACTGCCTGCTCGCCCAACCACACCGGCCCTCACCGAGTCACAGTACCGATTCACGCCATCGATCGGGCTCGGATGAATAAGGAGGGTACAGCGACGGATTGCCCGGTACTGATCTACGGGAAAATACAGGGAGCAGCAGTGAAAATCTTCATTGACGGAGGAGCAAGTCACAGCTTAGTTAATACTGCAACCGCACGGAGATTACAGTTAATACTTAACCGATGTTTACCTGAGATAGATGCACGCTTAGTCGACGGCACGCCATTGGCCATACGAGAAAAAGTGGAGCGAGTAAAAGTCCGCTGCGGGGGAAACTTCGGGTTTACACAGGAAATGCTCGCAACGACGCTGGATGGGCACGACATTTTACTGGGACGTGATTGGCTACGACGGTACAACCCACGGATCGACTGGACGACGGGGAGCTGCACAGTGCGAAGTAGCGGTAACTGGGTCGTCCTACCTCGCTGGCGGCCACCCGAATCTTCGACAGTCCAGGTCAACGCCATCACGATGAAACGGGCTGTCGCTGCTGGAGCTGACGTGTACGCAGTGGATATCGCAGTGGTAGAAAAAGACGAGCAGCAGAATGATTTAAAGAAACTACTAGCAGCCGTACCGACCGAATTACAGGCACTACTGAAACGGTTCCCGGGGATATTTCCGGATGATTTACCACAGGGACTGCCACCTCAACGAGCGCACGACCATAGGATCGAGTTAGAACCGGGGGCACAACCAACAGTACAGCGGCAATTTCGACTGACACAGCCCGAGCTCGACGAGTTAAGGAAGCAGTTAGATTACCTGTTAGAGAAGCAGTTTATTCGACCAAGCTCGTCACCGTTCGCCGCACCCATACTGTTCACACCGAAAAAAGACGGAGGTTTTCGCATGTGCATCGACTACCGAGCGCTCAACCGGGTAACAGTCAAATCGCGATACCCCATCCCCCGCGCCGACGAACTGATTGACCAACTGCGAACAGCACGTGTCTTTTCGAAAATAGATTTACGGGGAGGTTACCATCAGATTCGGGTCGAACCATCGGACTGCGCAAAAACAGCATTTAGGACTAGGTACGGGTCATTCGAGTATACAGTAATGCCCTTCGGGTTCACGAACGCGCCTGCGACTTTTCAGATGACCATGAACGAGGCGTTTAGACCACTTTTAGATAAATGCGTGATCGTTTACCTCGACGATATCCTCGTTTACAGTCGGGATAAGCAGCAACACTTAGCAGATCTTGAAGCAGTTTTTAAGGTTTTAGAGGAACATCGGCTGCTCACCAAGGGCTCCAAGTGCGAGTTTTTTAGGGATAGGCTAGAGTTTTTAGGTCACGTCATTTCCGAGGCTGGGGTTGAGATTGACCCAAAGAAGGTGGATACGGTAAAAGCGTGGCGCCACCCGACGAACATCACGGAACTGCAGAGTTTTTTAGGGTTTGTTAATTACGTTCGACGGTTCGTGCCCGACATGGCACGTTTAACAGCCCCACTAACTGATTTACTGCGTAAGGGGGTCGCTTTTACGTGGGGGGAGAAAGAGCATGCTGCCTTCTCTGCCCTAAAAAACGTTCTCTGTTCACCACCCGTTCTACGTATCGCTGATCCCCACCGCCCTTTCGAAGTGGTCACCGACGCAAGTGACATCGCCATCGGAGCTGTACTGTTACAGGACTTCGGCAACGGCCTCCAACCTATCGCCTACGAATCACGCAAACTACATCCGCCTGAGCGAAATTACCCGATACACGACCGCGAAATGCTCGCGATCGTGCATGCATTCAAAGTTTGGCGCTGCTACTTGACCGGCGCAGACGTGACAGTACGGACAGACCACCGATCTCTACAGTACCTCCGCGCACAGCCCCACCTCAACCCACGACAGATTCGATGGCTCGATTTCCTCGAGTTGAATTTTCACTATACGGTCACATACAAAAAAGGAGCATCGAATATCGCCGACGCACTGACCCGCCCCACTGCCCAGATCCACGCGATACTACTCGCCCAGACCAGCCCACTGCTGACAGGTCTATTTACCCACGGATATCAAACAGACCCGTTCTTTACAGGAGGCAACTCACAGCAATTCGCAGCGGCAAAAGGAGTCTATTACGTAAAAACTGGAACCGACCGCATCTGGGTACCGGGATACACGCTACTGCGGGAACTACTGTTACAGGAAGCACACGACGGAGTTACCTCGGGACATTTCAGGGTAGAAAAAACACGGCAGCAGCTGCAGCGGTACTACTACTGGCCAAAAATGTTGACCGATGTGCAACGACACGTGGCATCGTGTCCCACTTGCCAGCTCATGAAGTCAAGCAGGAAGCGACCAGCGGGGCAATTACAACCCATCCCGCCTCCAGAGCGTGCTTGGCAGCAGGTGACGATGGACTTCGTCACGGGGTTACCAGCTGGGGCGAGTGGGAATGACGCGATCCTGGTCGTCGTCGATCGACTAACGAAAATGGCTCATTTCGCAGCATGCAGGAAATCCACCACAGCCGAAGAAACCGCCCGACTCTTCATCTCCACCGTCGTACGACTGCACGGGATACCCGCGTCGATCATCAGCGACAGGGACACGAAATTTACCAGCAACTTCTGGCGGAACCTGTGGCAGCAGTTCGGCACGCGATTACAGTTCAGTTCATCCTATCACCCCGAAACCGACGGACAGACGGAACGGACAAATCAGACCATGGAGCAGCTGATTCGAGCCACGTGCGACGACCCGAATACGTGGGAACAGCAGCTGCCACTCATCGAGTTCGCATACAATAACGCACCATCAGCCACGACGCAACAGTCGCCGTTTTATTTGAATTACGGACAGGACCCAAC